TGTGTGTGTGTGTGTGTGTGTGTGTGTGTGTGTGTGTGTGTGTGTGTGTTATGAAATCGTCAGGAGGAGGAGGCAGCAAATCCAGTTGCAGGAACTTTTCCACATTGACAACTGCTTGTCACTGTTTTATTATGCACATTAGATCTATACTTTTACAAGTAAGAAAACATTTTATTTCCTCACTTGAGACCGCTCAATGGCTCCCCAAATTCCCTTAGAATAAAGTTCAAAACTCCTGTAAATGCTGGACTGTGTATAACACCACTTGTCCTTGTTTTCTTTCTATTCCAGTAATAAGCAACAAAGAAGGTTTCTCTTGAGGCTTACAGTCCTTCATGCTGGGACGTCAGAGCAGGAAATGGGCAGAGATATTAGGGGGATTATGCTTATTGACCTGACCTTATGGCTTGTTCAGCCTTCTTCCTAATTTAACATAGGACCTCATGTCCAGGATTGGCAAAACCCACAACGTACTCGGCCTTCCCACGTCAATCATTAATCAGAAAATGCCCCCACAGACAGGCCAATGGGCCAATCTGTGGAAATGCCCCAGTTAAGGTTCCCTTTTCCCAGATAGCACTAGTTGTGTCAAGTGACAGAAATAAGTCAGCACAGTCATCTGTGCTGGCCTGTGCAGCCTCACTTTGTCACCCTCTTCAGTCACTGAATGTCATTCCTGGGTGCCCAGATCTCCATCCTACTCACCAAATCCCAGTACTTCCTCCTTCCCTTTCTTCCTCCTCTCACCTGTACCTAGAATATTCCATCCCTCACTCCCATGGTCATCTCCCTGTTAGTCATATTCATTGCTCTTTACAACTGGTACACAGTGGTGGGCCTAGAGGAGCCAGGAGCAAGCTCTATGCATGTGTTCGGTGTTTAAGATGCTAAAGACATCCACTTTTCCTTTGCCTGCTTACTCTTCTCCCTTTGGCTGTGATTCTCATCTCTGTTTCTCCTTCTCTATCACTGAGTAACAGAAAATAATGTCTTTATCAATACTATCAACTTTAGAAACAAGTCACTAGCTGTTACCCCTGAATTACCCACCAGCTGGAGGACAATTGCCTGAGTTTGACCCTGAGGATCCTGGGATAGGTTTTCCTCCTTTCTACAAGTAGACAGAAGGCTTCAGTGACATGAGCCAGCTGCCTTCCAGTGAAAGTTTTAATATCTACGTGGAACCACGGCTCAGAGACTTCTCAGCAGGCAATGCTTACACAAAAACCTTACCATCTCCCTGCCCTTAAGAATGTCCCTGGGCTACCGAGATGGGTTTTCAATAATACCCATAATAATACATTGCATTTTAAGTATTATGGCCTGCTTTTCTTATTCTAAGAAGGACAAATATAAAACTACTTTATTTTCACATATCAAATTTATATTAACAATGACAAAATAGGACATATTATATATCTATCATCAGCAGGCTATTGGGAGGTAACAGAAGCTTCAGAGAAACAGCTGGGGTTTGAGTCCCGGGACATCATGTGACTGATATGTATTGCTTTTATCTGGATCGCTGTTTCATCTGAGAAGTCAAAAACAGGGACTTGTACATATATAGCCCTTTGGAAGACGACCTCAGAGGCTGGGATTTCTCTCTGCCATGTGGCTACTGAAAGTAACATAACATACATCTTACATTTCAAAGCTGCATTTCTACATTAAAAGAGAAAACTGGGATTGCAGAAAAGGCTATGGGAGCAGAACTCAGGGGTGCTATTGAAGTCAAGTCCACAAGCATGTTCTCAGCATCTTCTAGCGGCCAAGAAGTGCTGGGTGGTGCATGTCAGTCCCACACCTGGGTGAGTGTTGGAGGTCACAGAGGTTCATGGGAAGAACCTTTTGTGTACTGACTTGTTCTGAATGTTTAGCCAATAATTTACAGAGTTGCTATGTCATTACCTAATTATCCAGAAATCATCTCTCACATGGAAAAGGTGAGAGGTGCTTGCTTACAAACCTGTGAATACATAACTGAAGGGCCCAAGTGTCTTGTCAAAGCAATGTTTTGTGTAACATACACATCTTATGTACATTCCCAATACCTTACAGCAAAGTGTTAGATTGTGACATCTGCGAATGCAAAAACAGCGTCACACCCTCGTTCTCTCATCTCTGGAGGAACAAAAAAAGGATTGGGAACCAAAACAAAACCAATGCCGAAAATAGAAATGGAACATATTGAAGCTGCTTGTACATACAAATTAACATGAGAACATAAAAGCATTCATGAAGCACGGCACCAGATAGGAATGATGTGGGGTTAAGGACTCCAAGAGGAAGCTAGCACAGCCTGATGGCTACATGCAGCTCTATGAGACCTCAGGAACCAGTTCCCTTTGACCCGAGGCATAAGAAGAAGGCTGCTGGCTCACTTGTTTCTAAAGTGAAAATGACAGAAATGAACCCCATGCCCTTCCAGCTCTAGCACAGTGGGCACTTGTCCTTTAAATGCCCCTCCCACCTGAAGAGATGAGCTCAGAAAAACATTTGTTCAGTTAATGAAACAGGACAGCTTTACCAGCTAGAAAAGAGACTTTACAACTGGCCCTAGTGTGTAGCCTGTAAAGAACAAATGTTGGGAATCAGGAGGATAGCATTATGTACATAGCTACACATAAGCTGTTCCTGATAGCTCATTGCTGTTGGAAGATGCTGAGGAGGAGTTTCAGCTCTGACATAAACTAACAGTGTGACGTCAGGCAAACGGCTATGCCTCACAGGAGCGGTCTCCTCATCGCTGAAATAACAGTGTTTTCAAGCTACCTATATCTAACAATTTTGAAAACTTTACTCCCAGCAAAGATCTTTGCCTTGTACTTAAGTAATCTCAAAAGGTTTTGCAGCGCTAGTATTTAGTGTCTAATTACAGACACATCGTTGTGCAAAATGAAAGGTTTTGTATTCTATAGCCAGATAGACCAGAGTCTCTCTGAGTTCTGTGAGGTAGGGTCCTTTGATAGGAAGAAACTCTCAAACACAAGGTACTACAATTCCAGTGCTTCTATTATCCCCCTGGCTTAACTTGAAAAGTTGCTTAACTTTCTCACCTTTTGTCTCCTAATCAGTTCGATGGATACAAAAATGGTTATCTCAACCATGTCGCTTTAAAGGAGATTAAATTATAACTAACTCTACAATGCAATAAAATATATAGCCCAATTTTAATACATCTGTGAAACCATGGACAACCTTCCTTTCAAGCTTTTTTTTTATTGTGGGAGCTATAGAATGGTTTAGAGACCATGTGAACATGCTTTAACAAAAAGTATTATATCTAATACTCTAAATAGTATATGCAATCAGGAAAAAAAAATAAAAGAGGTGGGAAATCTTCGTTAAACATTTCTCTTACTCCCAGCTTAATTCAGCAGGTGGACAAAGAAGACAGCCAGGAAGGTAGGGCATGTGGGAGTCGTAGTTCTAAACGAGGGGCTTAGCTCCTATGGGCCCTTGTAGTAAGACTTCAATTCCCAGAAGACATCTCGTTAGGCCAAACGGTAGCTTGGGAGCCGAAGTACCAGGCCGTTAGGGTGCAATAGGTGGGACTACAAATCCCAGAAGCCTCCACAGCTAAGCTCTTGAGCCTTGAAATGGAGCCTGAAACAGGAGCTTTCAGGTACAAACAGCTTAAGCACAGGTTCTCTTAGGGCTGCACTCAGAAGAACAGGCCTACCCCTGATTAGCGATTGTCTAAAACAACCACTTGCTACTTTCAGCACATTTCTGAGGCCGAGAATAAGGAGTTTTCAAATGACAAACGTTCGAGAGCCCGGTCTCAGGGTTGACTACAGCTTCAGGCAGCTCCTCTGAGCCCTTTAGGCAGGGAGTATTAGTCTGGTTTTTATCCACGTGTGACCGCTGAGCTGGTGGTCCAGGGTCACACCGCAGAGGCAAGGTGGCTCAAGTTCCAGCAACCGGCCTTCTTTTACAAATACCCGCGTGTAAAACTAAAATTAAAAACCGCGAAAACCTCCTGGGGTGACGAGTTCTCGCAACTCGGGGAATTCGTGTGGGTTTGTTTCTCTTTATTGTGTGTCCAAACTTATCAAATGCACACTCTTTCCCGAAACCCTGTCCTGTGTGCCCTCTTCTGCAGCTGCCCCGGCACCTGTTCAGACCTTTGGGAACACCTAAGCTAGGTATATGTTTAACACGGGTTCATGCCACTATGAAACTTTCTGTGGAACCGAGGAACCATCCAAAAGCAGCCACAGCCAACTACACCTCGAGGACCCGCAGGCGCAACCCCCTGCCTCAGTTTACCCCGAAAGGCGGGTTAAGGCTGGAATAGGTTGCTCAGGAGCTGGGGAGCCTGAGTCCGTCCCGAGCAATCTCGGCAGGTGGGCGAGTCCTCCAGACAGACAGCCACTGCTAGGCGAGCGGCGCTGGCCTGTCCCCGCCCCGCCGGCCGCAGGGGTCCTGACCAGACGCGCCTGGAAACCCAGCCCGCGCCCCACATTCTGTTCCACTTGGGCTCGCCTCTCACGCCCCTACCTTCCAAGATCTTGGCGTCTGGAATGAAAGGCAGAGGGCGGGAGAGCGGGACAGGAGCACCGCCTGAGCGTGTCCCCAGGGGGGTGGACCTGTGAGCTGAAGGGAAAGTCCCACAGCAGAACCAAGCGGGACGGACTACAATCCCCACAGCACCCTGCGGCAGGGGCGGGAGCCAAGATGGCCGCTCAATGGAGACAGGCGCGGGAGCCAATAGGCGAAGAGCACGAGAGGACCTGTACCAATGGAAGACAAACGGCAGTAACACCAATTCTTGGAGTAGAAGAGTGTCTGAGGTGAGACTTCCCCTTTGAAAGGAATTTTCTTTTTCTCTTGACATGAAAGCTTGCTTTGTTCGTTTGCTTGCTTTCCATCGAAAAGAGCTAACTGTGTGCATCCTCCCCACCCCCGCTCCTTCTTGCTTCTTTAAGACCTTTGTATTTTCCCCAGAACACGCTCCCAAAGTCCTTACTTGAACCACCATATGGCTACCCTTGGCCTTCCTTGACATCCTAACAAAATAACATCACAGTCTTCCCGACCTTTTTTCCCTGCCTTCATCTTCTGCCCTCGTAATGGTTTTCAGCTAGACCCTTGCCATAAAAACACGGCAAGTTAATTATTTGTGTTTTTTACTGTTCCGCAAGGATACAGGATACCTTGCAGAAGTAGATTTTTATTTGGCTACGGTATTTCTTACACCTAGGGGACTGAGACAATGAGGCAAACGTAGTAAATAAGTTTTGAATAATTGAATGATATCTAGAGATGACCTTCCTCTGTTCCTCCTATCTCTCGTGCATATCAATTAAACTCATCTCTGATCACCATGGGTCTTTTATGCTTGCTCTTCTCCATGTTAATTCAAAATCATCTCCTCAATATATTCCATACCAGATGCCATGTGAGTGCTGAAGAAATTGTTGACTTAGGCAATATTGAACCTAAACATGTTCTGGGTCTAGTAATGTAGGAGAAAACAAAACAAACAAAAAGAAACCCTTAATTTTCCCAAAAATCCAGTTGCAAGTTGCAGAGCATCTAAATGACTGTCAACATAGCCATGCAGCTCCTCAACAGGGACTATACTACCACAGACTGCTCTCTCTTCTTAGAGATGCCCCCTTCCACTTTCTTCCATTCTTTCTCAAATCTAAGTAAAAGGAAAGATAGGTGTCTGTTGGTAGTCTTCTTTAACATCTTGAAAGCGAAACAAATAGCAGTAATGCTTGGACAAACCCTAAAATCTGTCCTAATCTCTGTGGCTCAGCTTCTCTTTCACCACAGGCAGGTAATTGCACTAAGTCTCAGATCGTTCATCCTTTCTGAACTTAAACCTCCATTCAGAGTAGCAAGGTGAACACAGCACCTGGTGAAAAATACTGATGTCCATGCAAGTGTGGCTGTCAGAGAATGTCAAACTAGACCATGGTCAAATTATGCCTGTAACACTGAGACACTAGGAAAAATGTGAATTAGGATGAACTTGAAAAGAATTTCAGTTCAAATAATAAGAATGCAGGTCAATGTGTATACAGATTAATTTTGTGCATGGGGATTGAAACCCTCTCCAGCCTTCCTAGCGTATGCTGGTCTCAGTTTAGGTTTATTTTCTATAATGCAATTCTTTCTAGCTTTTATGAGCATAGATCTGGCTCACCAGTCCCAGGTTTTCTCAAGCTGATCAGCATGAAAGATTTCACCACATGTGGCTACTGTGCAGAACGGTGCCAAACTAAATGTGGAATAAAATCACTGGGCCATAGGAAGTGAGACATCCCAACACTTACCCCCCCCACCCACACACACCAAGGTAGTATCAGCTTATAGTCATTACATTTCCTACTTAACGGTGAATGTGAACACATTTAAGATAAAAGGTTGGCCTAATGATGGTGATAGATAGCATTGGCAAACAGCTAATACAGATCTTAGCACAGGTATGTGGATATAGGCATTCAGCTGTGGATGTTTCTGGATTAAAAGTCAGCTCTGACCCTCAGCAATGCATACATTTGTAAAGAACATCAGGAATTGGCACTCGTCTTGGATTCAGAACTTCGAAGTGCCAAGACAAAAAAAAACAAAAAACAAAACAAAACTGAAAGGCTGCAATCTAATCTACAAACTGATTGTACAGTTTGGGATTTTCCAGAGGCAGGTCCTGAGACAGATATTCAACATAGAATTGTTTATTACACAAGCAGTTCCAGGAAATATCAGGAGAACAGGAAGTAGGGGAAGTGCAGTAGGTAAGGAAAAATACATGCCAACAGGTTGGGGGAAGTGCCCTGTCCATCATCTTACTTGTAGTGGCAACTGTAGCTCATCTTACTGGAGGGAGTAGAGGGGGCTTATAAAGGATTGCTGAATTGAGTTATCCCACTAGGGAAACAAAAGACCTGGGTTATTGAAACACTTAATTCCCATCAGTCTGTCAGGGCTGCTTCATTTCTTTTTTTTTTTTTTGGGGGGGGGGGGAGGGGAAGGGCTTTTATGTTGAGTTGTCAAGCATGCAAATGGCCTCAATGGACACAGAAACTTAGAAATAGGAGCCACGCCATTGAAATTAAGAGGACAGGACAACAAAAGAGATTTGCTACAGCTACGTCACAGAGACTAACAGAGTAAGCACAGTTCTATAATAAAGTGGATACGTACCAGTTGTGTGCATATATGCATGTGTGTGTTCCAAGCTGCTCATCTCTTTACTTCACATTTGTATCTTTATCCTACAAACAGTTAAGATAGCCTTTCATTTCTAAAATCTTCACGAAGGCATACAAACCAAACAGTAATTCTGGGAAACAGGAACTGTTGGGGAGTCTAAGAGGAGGCGTGATGAGTAGGGCACATGAGGAAAAGATCAAAAGATTGAGAAAGAAGACTTAGAGAAAATATTGCTGAAGATGTGTTTGTTTTTTATCTCAGGATCTTAAAGAAATACAAGCCTTTTATGGTGGGGGCGGGGAAAAATCTCGGTGATCTGTGGGCCTAGAAGACACGTGTGTGTGTGTGTGTGTGTGTGTGTGTGTGTGTGTGTGTGTGTGTAGAAGAGTAGAAGAGTTCTATAAGTTGCATTGCCCTACCGATTCTTCAAAGCAAACAGCTTTGCTTATCATTGTAGTCACTATATATCATTCTGTGTCTCACTATGTATATCCTGTGTCTCCCAAACTCTGAGAAGCAAGAGCTTCCTGTTGGACTTCGTCCTCGATAAGAATCAAGGAGAAAGTATGCTGCCATAGCCATGCTATAACCAGAGGATTCCCATAACACACGAGCTAGAAGAGCCCCCTGTAGCATTAAGACTCCTAAAGCAAAGGAGCCCAGACAACCTCCTGCTACCCTTCCATTATAACAAGTACAGGATTATCCTCCCAAGTAGGGAGCCTGGGGGTCATACACTATAGTCCCAAGAACATCCTCTTCATGCTCCTAAGACCTACAGAGACATCTTTACTATGGAAACAGTCTCAAAATCAAGCAGTCATTAGCAGTCAAAGAGTTCAACCCTCTGCATAATTCATTTCAGCCATATGTTACAGGTCATAAACTACACTTTTAGACAAGCATTCTGAGAAGATTTATTTGAAAAACATATATCAAATATGAAAATATATTAAAACAAGGAAAGCAGTGTTTTATTCTTATATACAAAATATAGAGAGACAGGGAAATTGAGCTGACCTGAAGTGTTGCAGTCTCCTTCACCTCAGCTTGTAACCATGGAGCTTTTCTTGCTGTCAGGAAAAATCTGGTTGCTAGTAAGAGCAAGAACTAGCTTCTGACATCCTAATTATTGTTCATATTTTCCACACTCTCTCTAGCATTTCATCTTATTTATTCCTTTGTTTTTTCTAAGTGAAATGGATTCCTTGTGTAGACCTGCTCATTAGATATTTAAGAGCTCAGTATATTCCCTATAGTTAGAGAACATATGCATGCTGTCTCTTTCTAACTCTGCCTCATAAATAACCACAGTTAATCCTTCTTGCTGCCATCTTTTGCAATCATCTCCCAGTTACCTAGAACATAAGGTGCATAAAACTCAGCTCGGTGTCCTAGCTGTGATGGCACTAGGGTGGCCTGAGATCAGCTGTGATTTCTCATCACTCTTTTTCAAGAAATGATGCATCCAAACACATGGCCCAGGTTCACCACAGCGTTAAAGGCATTCCATCATTCAGGGGGACAAAAATCCATTAAAAACATTTCCTAAAAATTAAAACGCTGTATTTCTTTAGGAGAGGGCTGTTTTAGTGTGCTGTCTGTTGCTGTGACAGACACCATGAAGAGAAGGTTTTATTTTAGCCTTCAGGTTGCAGGTTCCCTCTATCCTGGAGGGAAGCCAAAGCAAGAGCTGGAGGCAGGATCGAAGACAGTGATAACTTACTGGGTTGTTTCCCTTGGCTTCTTTAACTTCCTTTCTTAAATAGTCCAGTCTTACCTGCCCAGGGATGGCACTGCCCACAGTGAGCTGGGCCCTCCCACATCAGTCAGCAGTCAAGAAAACAGCACACAGAAATGCCACAGACCATTGCAATGGTCCTTAGATGGGGTAATCAGAGAGGGCCTCTTAGAAGAGGTATCATTTGAACAAAGGCCTGTTTGTAGAGGTATGATTTTTTGAAGAAATGAAGAGACAATCTGTGGGAAGATCTGTGGAAGAAAATTCCAGAGAGAGGGAGCAGGAAGTACGAATTCTTTATGATACAAACAAGCTCCATAATGAGGACATCAAGGTTTTTATTAAAGTAATCTTTGGATATTAATAAATAAAATAATTTAATAAAATAAATAGTACTAACAAAACATTTTCAACAAAAAAATATTTTCTCCTTTTCTGTGTGTCTGTGTATATATTCATGACTGCATACATGTAAGAGGATTCATGTGTATGTGTGTGCTGATGCATAGGGAGGCAGGTTCCTCATGTTCCATCACCTTGTTCTGTTTGGTTTTGAGAAATGTTTTGTCACCTGCTGGAAGCTCACCCATCAGGCTGGTGTCAGTGCTGGGTGACATCTAGGAATCTAGATGCCTGTGTCTTCCTCCCCAGAGCAGGGATCACAGGCATTCACCACCACACACAACATGTTTGCATGGGATCCAGTGAATGATCTTGTGTGTGTGTGTGTGTGTGTGTGTGTGTGTGTGTGTGTGCATGTGTTCGTGTGCATGTATATCTGTGTGTGAAGCACTTTCCTAATCCTACCTCTCCAGACTTAGAAAGAATTTTGAACATGGATTATGAAATAATTTCTAAACTTGAGTGTTTTAGTATGATATTCAATTTTTACTATGGACTCTGCTTTTCAGAATTTTGTATTTTAAGTGTGGTTCCACATAAGAGAGAATCAGAGTAAAAATGAGTTTGTAAGGAAGATGAAATTTATATACCAAATTCATCATCAAGTTTTCTTTGAAAATTTATGTAAATTCTAAGCAATATTAAGTCTCTTCCATTTTATTCTAAAATGTGGTCCATTCTAAGGATTTGTGGTGCTTCTGTTTTATTCTGTTTTGTTTGTTTTTTACAGCAAATCTCCACAGCTTTTTTTTTCTGTTTTGATAACAGGATGTCATGTTTGTGATAAATATTCGCATAAAAGATATTTATAATGTAAAAATCTCCTAAAATATTTACACATTTTAAAACAGCAATTTGAAACCTTCTTATCTCCTACCACTATTTTTCCAACAAAAAATTCAGAGAGATGTATTTAACAGACACCACATTTCATGGTGAACGTTATTGGCTGTGTGGCTGAAAACTGTAATTAGCCATGCCTCACTGATTCATACATGAATCATTTTGAGGTTTGTTACTCCATTGGAATGTTAATGAGCATGAATACAAAATATTCTGAGAGCTTTTCTTTTAATCTTGGTAAAGTACATATGGTAAGCAAAAAAACATTTAAAATAATTAATGAAAAATGTTTCATGTATTTAAGAAGCCCACTGATCTTTTTCAAATAGTAAGGAAGACTGGATAATTGATCAGAGCGGCTTCTCTGTGATATGCAGAGTGGTTCTATAAACACTAATTAATGAAGATCCCTGACCCCTTCCAGGTAAATGTTAATGAAACCCAGGAGTCCTAGTTCTTCTGACCTTTGCTCCAGTTTTCAGGTAAGAAATCAGCTGAGTAAGATGTTTCTAGATCTTTGAAAAGAATATGGGAATGAAAGCAGCATTCAGAGTTCAGATGTCATTTATAAATAGCGTTCTTTTATGAACTTAGTTGAAAATAAAAGTAATTTAGGAAAAAAAAAACATTATGTCTGCACTGCCTTCACCTGGCAGGGATTTTCCTCATGGAAAAAAAAAAACAAAACTGGAAGCATGACTTAACTGGTCCTGCTTCTACAGTTAGTGTCACTAAAGCGTACTGTAAATGGAAATCAGATTGCTGTAGAATCCAAGAACAAACTCTGCTTTTGACCTTTAGAAAGCTCATGATGTATATGCCCACAAAATAAACAAAATAATTTCTAAGCAAATTCGTTGAGTGTACCTGACCTTTGGAACAGAGCAGCCGCTGTTAATCAGATTTGTATGATGTTAATCTAGCTCATCCTCCATCCCTCCATGTGGTTTTCAGATATCATAAAGAAGAGTCTCACAACAAGGGATCTTTGCCATCAGAATCAATTTAGAAATGCAACAAATGTATAACCTGGCGTTAAACACGGATGTGTGTAACTCAGACACAGAAGCAAGGAGCACTGTACTGTAAACCTCTGGAATATGCACTTACGGGGAAAATGACTTTGAAAACCATTACCCTAAGTACATTATAGGCAGCTTCTCAATAAAATATAGCTTGAGTCTTAATGCTGTGCAAAATACCATTAGGTCAACTTTGAGTTGAAAATTGCCTACATATTATAAAAAGGAAACCCTTCTGCCTGTCTCTTCTTTTCCTCCTCCTTCTTTTTTCTCCTCCTCCTCTTTAAAATTCTTTTCTGAGAGGACCTAGACCCCCTGCTCAGATGTAGTCAATTGGCATCTCAGTCTCCATATGGGTTCCCTGGTAAGGTGAGCAGAGGCTGCCTCTGTCATGAGCTCAGTTGCCTGCTCTCTGATCACTTTCCCCTGGCACTGCGACCTTGCCAGGCCACAGATGAAGAGGCTCCAGGCAGTCCTGATGAGACTTGATAAGCTATGGGCAGATGGCAGGGGAGGAGAACTCTCCCTTTCAGTCGACTTGGAAAGGGATGGGGAAAAGAAGGAGGAAGGGTGGAATTGGGAGGGCTTAAGGGAGGGGGGCTACAACTGGGATATATAATGAATAAATTGTAAAAAATAAAATAAAATAAATTTTTTTTCTGCATTTTAGCTTTCAGTGCTTGAAATGTTGCCTCTGAATATTTTGTTAAGTAACTTGGTACACACACTGCCTCACAAGGAAAACCAAATCTGACTTTTTCCAACAGTAAACCTCAATCCATGTGGCTGTGGTGGAGATGACCACTGTTGTTCCTGCCGAAGTAGAAACGAGTGCAGAAGTAGTCACAGCAAACAATGTTGTCCACAGCACTGCATACAGTGTGACCAAGATGATTGTTTCTGAGAAGACAACTACCCCAAGCCAAGCCAGTCTCCTCAGGTGTTTTGCCATAGGCATCTTCTTTTAAATCATTATGAAAAGATAACAGGGTAAGGCTGTGGGCTACCTTCCCTACCTAGGGGTTAAGTCAAGCAGGGGCAAGCAGAGTCAAGAGAGGGATAGAGAGCGGCAGGTACAGCATCCCAGAACACAACTGCAGGCTATATGAGTTTTTTCTTGTGTGAGTTGATTTGAATTAGGTTTATTTCTTTCAACCAAAGGAATCCTGACCAACTGACAAACTCAGCTATCAAACTTAGGCTTTTCCCATTGTGTTGGTTTTTGGGGACTCCCAGACCTAGAGCCAAGCTAGCCTTCACTCTACCAGCCACAAAAGGATGCATGGGGCACACTGTACTCTTCAAAGCACTGCAGGTACTGGGTCTGTAAAAGAGAACACAAGAGGTACTGTGGCTCTCAAGCATGTGAAGGACTATTTTGTGAGAGAAGAGATCTCTGTGTATTGCTGAAATACACCCCAACACAAGGGATAACTTTCCAAACAACAAATGTCATGGCTGCTCACATTGGGCTCTACCACTTTCTTTTGTTTTTTGAGTTTGAGGGTTTTTTTGTTTTGTTCTATTTTGTTTTGTAATGTCTATGTGCCTGTGTGAATATGAATGCACTGCCTATGGAGTCCAGAAGAGAGCATCTGATCCCCTAGAGCTGCAGATTTGTGAGCCTCCAAAGTCGGTTCTGGGATTCGAACCTGGGTCCTCTGCAAGAGCTGTATGTGCTCTTAAGCACTGAGCCATCTTCTCAGTTCGCTCTACCACTTTCATTAAGTGAAATCTCCACAGACGACTTTTAAGATCACTCTTATTCCCTGATTGCTGCAGTATTTCATAATTGTCATCATATCTATAAATTATAAAATCCCCTCAGTTACTCAACAAATCACAAATCAGTGCAAGTCTCTTCATGTCAAAGAGGTAGATGCACTGAGAGCAAATGTGAATGCATTTACTCTCTTCGCTCTTGACCTTGTGAATGACTTTCTGACCCAAGTTCCTGCCACCAAGACTTCCCAGCTATGGCAGACTATAAGCTGGAACCACCAGCAAAAACAAACCCTTTCTCCCCTACCTTGATATTATCAGGTATTTTTTCACAACCTGTTCGCAAAGGCAAACAATACTAAGACAGAGGTGATTCCTGAATAATTTAAATTATAAATAAAGACTTGTTTTTTAGCAAACATACCACACTGAACAGCGCTTCACTGAACTCTTAATTTGGAAAATGTCTGTCTCTATGATGGTTTATTCAAAATCATGTAAATATAATACAGAAAAAGCCAATCAAAGCATCTATAATGAAATAAAACTTTCTTCTGTTTTGAGTGTTGTTAGCATGTAGATAATAAGGAGCAACACAGGAAGATTTACTACACATTCTCAGTCAGTGAATGAAGGGTTCCTGTTACTCCTTTTTGTATACAACAATGAACTCAGAGGCCTCCAAACACATGACTTTGTCTTTCTCTGTGGCATTCTTTTGTGGACTGCCAATGTATTTTGTGTTTTCAAAAGTACTTTGATACCCAATACTTAATAAAAGGTATGCAAATGATACTTGCACACAAGAGCTGCCAGAAAAAAGCAACACCACTATTCTAGACATACAAACACAGGTGTTAAGAGGTCCAGATGCCTTTAAAAATTGTTTGAAGAGACGAAATCAGGCAGAGAGGATCAAAAGAGTATCTGTTGGCGTTATGGACAGCATAAACCATAACTCAGGCAGAGCAATCACTGAAGATTGCATGAAAGCTGCTTTAGAAGAAATTACTGTGGGGAGAGATGTCAGGGCTCAGGTTTAGAGAGCACAGAAGCGCGTGTGCTGTGAAGAGCCAGTGCACTTCTCCATGGGGACAATACTGAGAAAGCAGTCCTATCAGAACAGCACCCCCAGCTCCAGAAATGGAACATCCCCATCCATCCTGTACCCCCTCATTAAACAGACTCTGTGGCTGCTCAACACTCAGTGGGGGAATAATCCCAGACAGAGAAACAGGCATGTAAAAGGTGATTTAAAAAACAGAAAGCTTAGAAACCGTAAGTGGCTCATTGACACTCAAGAGGAGACTAGAAGAGAGTGGCTAAAAATGTGATTGAAACTATATTCAAAAATGTTAGGGCTGGAGAGTTGATGGTTCAGCAGTTCAGAGCACTTACAGCCCTTGCAGGGAACCTGCCTTTGGTCCCCAGCACCCACAGGACAGCTCACAATCACCAGTCACTCCAGCTCTAAGGAATCTAATGCCTCTTCTGACTCCTCGTGAGCTCTTGCCCACATGAGCTGCACGTGCACACACTCAGGCACACACACACACACACACACACACACACACACACACACGTACAGATAAAAATAATTAACTGTTTATAAAAAGATTACAAAAAGACTGATGAAACATTCTCCAGACTGAGGGCACAGTAGGAAATGGAGACTCATGACCCAGGGAATAAATAAGAGAAAGGCTCACTATTAGCAACTGGATAAAGTATTTTACTTTTCAAATTACTAAAAATTAGTAAAAACAAGTGATAAAACAGGAATTGTTAAATTTCTAAGAAGCAGTTTATAATAAAGTTTTCGTATGAAATTTTAAGATGCTTGGGGTGCAAAGTTCATGCCCTTTGAACTAGCAACCCAATTTCTATAAATCTGTACTTTTAAAAGTAGGAGATGTGTAGAAAACCATGTGAGTGCCAGAAATGTGTCACTGTCATTTAAAATGTTTCCTATGTCACTAATGATATGGAAAATTGTCCCAGGACAATTTTAAGTTTTTGACTTAATGTTAAGTCAAAAAAGCAAATGACAGTGGCATGAGCCTAGGCTCAGAAAGGAATATACATTCATGTGAAAGTATGAACTATAGTAATAATTCACCTCTGGAACTGTTTTTAATCTCATATTTTTTACTATTAAATCCATCATATCAGTACGTATTAATTTTATAGGGAAGTGTTAGATTGAGACATTTGAAATTCCTTAGTATACACTAAATTGTACCCCTGACCCAGTTCTTATTTTGAAGCTCTGACCCGAAGTTTCATTGGATTGGGGATAATTTTTTTTTTTTTTTTAGAAAATTTGGATATGTTATATAATTAGATTTGGAAGGGATTTTAAGAATGGGACCCTTGTGATGGGATTAGTATCTTTATAAGAAAATAAAAAGATGACAAAACTCTGTCTGTCTCAGTATACACAGGAGGCAGAGGCTGTAGGAGTCTAAATTAAGATGGCAGCCACATATATCCCAGAGCCTGAGCTACCATGTTTGGAACCTAATCGTGGATTTCCAGCCTTTAGAACTGCGCGAAAATAAATCTCTGTTGTTTAAGCTGCCTGTCTATAGTATTTAGTAAGAGACTAAACTAATTAATACAATATTTAACTGACTCCATAAATGACAACCACCTACAATTAAAGCTATGCAAACAAGAAATAAGATAAAAGACATTTATTTACAATACTTTGCGATGGATGCTGGGAGGTAGAGCAAAAGCAGTAACATCAAGAGTACAAAATTTGGTTAGGGTTGAAAAGGTAGGCCTGGAGAAGAAGGAAAGGCTTCTAAAACTGAGTCCAGAGCTTTTACAGTATATAACTGGGGACAAGGAACATTAGAAAAGCCTGCCTGGTAACTCCTAGGTGGCTTCCAAAATCCCCACCTGCTGTTGTCCGTATCTTAGTCCTTGTCCCCAAATTCAGCTTAGCAGAGCAAATTGTCTCCAACTTCTAGCAGTTTGCCATATGGTTTTATGAAATGTTTGTTGTTGTTTTACTTTTCAACTTTACAATGCCAAGACAGAAATACACACTCAGTGGAAACTATTCTCCACATTTTTAATTTTAACACTTTCTCAGGCTAGCAATATCCAGCATAATCCTCTCTGTTCATAATAGACAGAGGCAACCAGCCACCCTCCCCAGCTCCCTACCCTCCACTAGTCAGGATCCTTAGAGTAACAACTGCTACTCTAGAGTATATTGCTTTTACAGTGTTTGATAAATACAGCTAATCAGTTCATGAGACATTCAACAGCTTAGTATGAAATAGGTGTGTTAGATGATTTGGTCTAACCCTAGGCTAATGTCAGCATTCTGGGGACATTCAAGGCAGGCTAGACTAAGCTATGATGCTTGGTAGGCATATTTAATGAACTTATAACTTATTGATACTTTCAACTGAACCCATTAATAAAAAAGATTCTAAGATATAATCATTCAGTAAAAAGATCTGATTGAGGGATACTCTGGTGAATGACATTTACACTTGACA